CCCTTCATGGCATGGGGCTGGGTTACCTGAGGGACCACCTCTCCCTGATTACATCTGCGCATCCCATCAGATCTGGCTGAGAAGGCATGCTGCAGATCCCGTCTACTAGAGAATTGCATTTGGCAGTTCCCAGGTCGGCCTTCTCTGCTGTGGTGCCTGCCTTGTGGAATCTTCTCCCCCTGGAATTGAGATTAGCTCCATCCCTTTTAACATTCTGTAAGTCCCTCAAGACCTGGCTATGTGATCAGGCCTGGGGCTCAGATTTTACGATGGCTCCCTTACTAATTTTATCCCCTCCCATTTTGTGTGTTTTTACAGTTTTTTATTTGTTATTGTTTTTATGTATTTATTTTTTTAATTGTTGTACGCCGCCCAGAGTCACCTTGTGTGAGATGGGTGGCTATATAAATATGATAAATAAATAAATCTCAAACAGTGTATGTACAACTGGAAAGGGGCAGAAAGTGTATAAAAGTACACAGGAGAGAGAAAAAAATGGATAGGGTCACCTAGAAAACCTGGATTCATCCCTCCCTCCCTTCAAAAAAAAAAAAAAGACAAGAGATTCAGAAAAAAGTACTTCTTTACATTGTACATCATTAAACAGCAGAATTTTGTTCTACAAGAAATAGTGACGGTCACAAGCTTGAGTTGCACTGACAAGGAACTGAATGTATTCAAGCTATCAACGGCTGTTGATGGTTATGCATTATTTCCAGTTAGAGGTGCAACACTGTTCTTAGTACTAGTTACTGCAATGCACATACAGGAGAGGACTACAATACTCTTTACTCCTGAGAGACCTCTAGTGAACCATGGTGAGAAAGAATATGGGATTAGAGAGACCTGATCTGACCTAGAGAAGTGCCATGTTCTTTTGAAAAGATTTTTCACAATAACAATACAATCCTATACAGTTTTACTTGAGAGCAGCTCCTTTCCTTTAATGAGGCCAACAAACACATGTATCGCACATATTAGACTAGTGATTTTAGCAGATTAAACTTTGCTTTGTCTAAAAGAGCCTTAGCATGTACACGATAGAGATAAAAAGGAGAAAAAAACCCAACAACCCAGCAACAAAAGGCATGAAAGAAGAAAGGGATAAAAATACTTGAAGTGGTTTTCTAGTTCCCAATATTTAAACACAACCCAAAGTCCTTCTTGTCTGGATGTTTACTTAAAAGCATCGATATCCTTCAACAGTGGCCCCATTCATGTCTCATTTCAAGTTACTGAAGCGATTAGCAAACTGAATATGATGACTTACCTTTCTGAGGGCTTGGCTTCCGCATTATATTGCCTGATACAGGTCCTCACTCTGCAACTGGCTTAGGTTTACTAATCTGAAGGTGACTGGAGGGAAAAAGACAATGCACACAAACACCTTGAGAAGTGGTCAACAATTGTAAGCAAAAGTACTGGAAATCAAGTTCTCTTTTATTTCAAACTTCAAACCAAATATCCTTTGCGAACATCTGCATTTTAGTTCCAGGGCTTATGAATGAACCAACTATTTGTAACCATTCCATTCTATTTTTTGCAGCGGTAACTGCCTTAGCTGCCTTGGGATTGCACTCCCTTTGAAGGAACAGGTTCATAATTTATAGATTTTTAAAAATCCATCTTTTTTTCCCTGTTTTGTCAAGTGGTGACTGTGGCTGAGAGTCCCTTTTGTCAGCCTCATACTATATGCAATCTGTGACCTTACCTGATGACAACAGGTGATTTTCAGTCATATTTCCAGACTAGATTGTGGTAAAGCACAACTCTGGAAAATCCTTTTAACTGAAACTCATCAGTTTGGACATCTTATGCCAGAAATTAGATACTTTTATTTTGATGTATAACATCCTAATTTGATTATTACGAGTTTTAATATATACTTTTTAAATTCTTGCAACTAAATTTGTTTTCTCTTTATGTGTTTTATTAGATTATGTAGTTTCTGATGAAGTATGATGGATACTTTCTGGAAATAAACAGATCATATTTTAATTTTTAAATTATTCATGCATTGAAAATATTGTCAAAAATACTTTTTTTAAGAAGAAAGTTGCACTGCTCTAATATGCTATCTCATTTTATTTTAAAAAACTGACTTCACTGCAACAATGTTTTCAAGTTATGAATATAGTTTATTCAATGGAAATAGAATTTAAATGATTCCTAGTGAGATTTCAGGGTATGTGCTAAAAAATAAACTGATAACTTTATGAAACAGGCAAGAAACTATTCAAGAATTCTACTCTTTTCATAGCTGAACAAGCTGTTTCTTAATAACACCAAATAACTTTAAATGTATAACTAGGAATAAGAAAATAATTAATAAGATCATCCTATGTCTGTTTTTGTTTAATGGGTAAATCTCAATTAGACTTTATTTTTGGCCACTGATAAAGGAGTAAACAGACGTGGTAACTAAACTGTGTGGAAGGAAAAAAGGGAAAGCTAGCAAAGTTATAGAAACATATCATTCAGACTTTGAAAGCACATAATAGTTTTGTGTTCTCTCCTCCTTACTGGATAACGATAACAGAAATTAACTTGCAATCCAGTGACTGTGTATGAAGTCCTACAGAGTTCAAGAGGACGTGTTCCTACACAGGTGATACCTAAAGTCGCAGATCCAGATTCTGAATTTTCATTACTGAAAAGTGGCACTAATGATTATGTTTCTCTGTTCCATCAATTATGGCTGCAAAGTCAGGGGCTTTTTGTGCTTCCTGGTATACGATTTTTTTGCAGTATTTCA